AAACAGGTCTCAAAGACTAAACAGAATGAAAACCTGATCAAGATGTTGCTTAGAGCTGGAGCTGATGTTAATGCTACAGACTTTGTAAGTGGGTTTAGACAAACGAAAATGTGGTTCATATGCATGCAACAATACTAAAACCAGACTTCAGAATCTGCTAGCAACACAGTCCTGCTTTCAGAGTAGGCCCAGGGACTGAACAGGCTGTGATGTACCAGGAGGATTCAGTGTTTCCCCTTGATAGTTAGGCAATAGTTTTGTAATGTACACAGAAATAGTTTTCCACTGATGAGTAATTATCACTGTCTGAGTAATGCCCTCTTAAGAGAATCCATGCAAGCTGGGTTGAGATACTTACCTATTAAGTACCTGATCCTTTAAAGATTCTAGTGGTACAAAGATCTGAGTTTACCATGGTTTAAGAGTTCTTGGACTGGAGCAGATTTGTGGGCAAAAATCATGCCACAGTGCTAGACCCTGTGTCTTCTCTTGATCTTTGGAGTGTGCTGATCTGCCATATGTAGAGTTCTGAATCTACTACTTGGGTGTGGTAAAGAGCTTCTCTAAGGCAGAAAAGGACAACCCTCAATTTTTGCAGCAACCAAATTCTAAAACACTGAAGTGTGCGCAAACAGTACTGCTTAAGACATAGTTGTTGAGATCAAGATTGTGGAATCCTCTGAAATTAGTAAAGAACTATTGGCTTTCTTCTGAAGGTACCAGACCTGTTTTAGCAGCTGCATCCCAGGGACGGAATGATATTTTTTTTGTTCCTGTTGCTCTCATGAGAATGTATTTATTTTACTATGTTGTGTATTGTGACAGGAATTGATGTGTCTCTTGCATCCAGCTGTCAGGGGGTAAATGATAAGGCTACAGGCAGTGGTACTTGCCTAAGGTCTATGGCAGAAGTAGTAGAACTAAAATTTATGTGCTTCTGTTTCCCTTCAGTCTGGTAGCACAGCCCTTCACTATGCTTGTGAAATGAAAAACCAGGCAGTCATTCCTCTACTGCTTGAAGCTCATGCAGACACTTCTGTAAAGAATCAGGTAAGAGGGTGAAGTTGGTGACTGCATTTCCTTATCATGATGGTGAACCAGTATGTTGTAGGCCTTAGCTGGTGTGCAGCAGCTTTAAAAAAAGGGTGCACAGCTTCATGGCGGCAGACTTGTTTGCTGTGGGGTATAAAGAACATTTGCTCCATTTCCTTTGTTGGCAAGAACAACTTTAAAGTCCAAATCCTTCATTCCTGGGTCTCTACCGGTAAACGCTGCCTGCATGCCCATGGGATTGGCAGATCTCCTAGCTATCTTTACCTCTTCTTAACTCAGAGCTTCTCTATGGTTGTTCCTAGGATGCAGGCTGCAGGGCAGTGGTAAGAGCCTTCCTAGGTGCTTTTTGTGCCACTGGACTCTTCTCAGAGAGGCTAAGTCAAGCTGCTTCTGTCATAAGAAAACTCAAATGTTATCCAAATAAATATCGACCTGGGAGTATTTGCATTACTGATCTGAGACGAGCAATGTATTGCCCATGTTGCTCTTGAAATCAGCACATGGCTTAGCTCTGCACTGTCTTTGGACCTTAGCCCCAGGAAACAGTGAAATGGCTGCCACTGCTGGAGGGGAAGGGAGGACTGTGCCCCTGGCTTCAGTGAGAGTAGTATTAGATCAAGCACATTCTGAAACCTTCGTTTTAGAGCAAGGATGTGACAGTGAAACTGACACAGGAGAGCAATGCATCTGGGTGGCAAATGAGAAAGCTTTTTGTACTTGACCCATATCTATCGTAATTACAATGTATTTCATTTGTTTCTTTCAGGATGGGGAGACTCCCTTAGATATAGCAAGAAGATTGCAGTTCCACAACATTGAAAGCATGCTAAGGAAGACTTCCTAGTCATCAAGGACTCTTGAACTTGTGGAAAATTACCTCATCTGGCAATCTATCTTGCACTGCAGCAGGAGTCCTGCAGAGGGTTGAGGGCTGTTACTGGATGAACGCCTGGTCCAAATTGACCCATTCCTTACTGCAGACTTTGACTATTCCGTATGAGACTTCCCAGTGCCCCTAAGGCCACGTGGGCTGAAAGGAGTTAATTTGATTTTACTAAGTTGTGAATGATTATGAGAGTGTTCAGAATATTGCCCTTTCCATCTGCTTCCCCAGACTTATTACTTGACGTATGCAGACTGTGGATTTTGAAAGCTAGCTGTAATATTTCTGGAAGCATGAACATTGCACATGACGGTTGTCAGCCAATGCAAAAATAAAATACCCTTAAAGTGTGTGTTACTTGTTCTGTAGGGGATACACTTGACAACTGAACAATATGCCACAGCAGTTTATATGAAGTCTGGTACCCTTCCTCTTTGTATTTCTCTCCCTACAATGGGAGTGACTGGGAAAACAGACCTGTCAGCTTAGCATTTCCTCCTTCCATCTCTCCTACAAGTTTTACACACCCTAATTCTCACTATGATGTTGTTACAAGGGAAGGATTATCTTCTTTTTTTCATATAAGGAACAGCAAAAAGAGATTCAATGAGTTGCTAGAGACCCCAAAGAAAGCAAATTCCCAGGTCACTTTACTGCGTTAAGAAATAATAATGAAAATATGTTTGGCATGGTAGAGAAATTAGTCTTTTGGCTACCTTTCCAATATAAACAATGTACTAAAGAAAAAAAAATCAATAAATGAAATGCTGTTGATGGGAAGCAGATGTATCCTTCCCATGGGACTGGACAGGATAGCATGCTTTTCAGAGTGGTGCATGCAGCAGGGCATGCATATACCAAAAATAATAATAAATTAATGAGTCTTCTCTTGCACAGGTGAAGGTAGAAGAAAATCTGCAGTGGTAGGCAATGTATCAATGTGGCCTCGTGCTTTGTGATTTAATAATGCAGCACTAAAGGGAATCTCCTTCCAAATGCTGCTGTAACTTGCTTTCTTGGTCTAATGGATCTTTATTTTTGTTGACAGTTTTGGCCATTTCCTGTAAGCTGTCATAGGTTCAGAAGATAAATGCCATGATCAGCACTGCTAATGGCTACTAGACTAGGTGCATGGACAAGCTACTGTATTTTTTCCTGTGTTGCAGAACACAGATATATTTTTTTCAGTGTGACTGTTCTGTTGGATGCTGAATCCAACTACAAAGGGTCTTGGTTGGGCAATATGAGAAACAAAGCTACCCTGTCGGAGCCTGTAATAATGAATACTTCAGGTGTAATGTGGGGACAGACACTCTCACCTACCAGATCAACTTGTAGGTGGGCAGATGTGAGGCACTATTGGATGATGATGCTCTCTCTTTGGGGTAATGGCTGGAAAGGGAAAACAACTGACTGCTTTCCCGTGCTGTAGAAATTGCTTGAAGAGAGAGTGGTCAAGACACAGAGTTATGTAAAAGTCAAAGCTGGTAGCTCAGAGCGCTTGCAATCACTTCATTGCCAGCATCAAGAATAATTCATGTGGTAGAAGCTGTATTGCTTGGAGTACAGCTTGTCTGATGGGTCTGTATCTCCTTGTTCCTCAGCTGCCATCCATGATGTGAACAAACCTTTGGGTGATGTGTAGGCATGGAGGGCAGGAGGATACTTCTGTGAGTTTTTTCTGAGGTTGGATACCTTGATGTTTGGAAGTCATCTAGTGCCTGCTCAGTCTCTTGTGTCTGAAGATGTCTTGGTTGACACCTCTGTGTTGACACTGTAGGTAAATGTGAGGAGGGAGAAAGAAGAAAAAGCCAAGTTCTCTGTCAAGTGGATAAATTATTTAATTTAAACATAGGCCAGTTGTACTTCAACAGAGATATGAGCAAATCCCACTTCTGGGTCTTCGTGGGAAGACACAAATTGGACGTGAGAATGCCTCTGTGGGATATGTAAGATATACATGAGAAAAACAGAGTTGAGGCTTAGGAAAATTGGTCTTGGAGAAATAAAAGTTGTCCAAATTAAATGATCCTTGCAGTACGTACTCAAATATATTAATATTTTCAGTTTTCATTCCTATACATATCAAACTTCTCAGGAAGACGGCAGTTGTGCAACATGTAAACACCATGGAAAACCTCAAACTACAAGGAAAGCAAGAAACAAACAAGCACAGACAAATACCTATACTGGTATCCATGTTGTCTGTCTGTGGTTTACCTCTTCCCCAGGTATCACCCTTATTGCCAAGTAGAAATTTTGGAGGTTTTTACTGAGTGAATCAACACTCTGCATGTGGTTTCAAAAGTATTTTACCATTAGTTCAATGATTTTCTGATACATTCTCTCAGTTGCATCAAGGCCCCAGATAAAATCAAGATGTCCCCAAGCAGGAAAATGCTCATGGTAAATGAGATTAGTAATCCGAGGAAGGAGCTTTGCCATGTCTTTTGGATCTGCAAATTTGTCTTGTCCACCGCTCCAAACAGCAATTGGTATGCTTATCTTCTCAATCTTGTACACAGGTGGAGAAGACTGTAAGAAAGCAGAAGAGACCTGAGTGAATGCTGTGATATCAGAGGTTGTGTTTAGAAAAAGAACTCTGTGCAAGCACC